CAGTTAGCAACAGTAGCGAAGGAATTGCTCGATCGGGTTCAGTTAATAGCCATGATTGATCGCTCGGGTTCAGTAACGCGTAGCCTGCAGTGCAATCGCTCGGGTTCAGTAGGCGAACGCCTTGCTCGGGTTCAGTTAGATCCCAACGCCTCGCACCCACGCGCGTGCGTGTACAAGAGAAACGCACAAACCTCCATGCATCGCTCGGCCCCGACCACCCACCATAACCGGGACCGATATTTTCCTCGCCCTCGCTTCTACCATGGCTTTTTTCGTCATGGACGGCCCAAAAAATGTCATGCAGCTGCGTCTCCGGCCCGCCCAGGACGAAAAGCCCATTTTCTATCATGATTTTTTGTCATAGAAGTCGAAGCCCACCACATCTATGATGATACCGGGTTTTGTCACAATTATCGTCATAGAAGTGTTATAAGTATGACAGGAAAAAAAATCGATTGGCCCAAAATGTCACGGATGTGTCTTTTTTTTTTGTAGTGTAGGGAAGGAAACAATGTTGATAGCTCAAGTGTTGATAAGGACAAGAGCCGAGAATCCAGGAAATTGGTCATGAATACAGGCATGGCAGGGGTGAATGACTTGCAGGGGCGGATCCGACGGTGTTCAGAACATGGGAAGTAAGAAGAATGGGGGTGTGGGGATAGGCCAGGGTAGTGGTGGTTATGTAACATCACCCCCATCGCCAGTTTATGTTCCACCAAAAGAATGCAAGAAGGCTCCATAATTAAGGTCCTTTGATCGGATCATCGCTTTAGGCATCATGCCTTCTCATGCTCCTCGTATTGTCTTCGCTCCTTGTTAGTATCAACACTTGGCACATGGAGGTCATAGATTCGCTGGACAATAAGTGCTTACACAAGTAGGTCTTTGGATCATATTGCATAGGCCTTTAAATTGAAAACAAGCTTCACACACACCATGTATAATCAACCTACCGCTGCAGAGGATGACCACATGCCTTGCAGATGCGTTTGGCGCCAGTAGTAGCCGTGTGGCCATGTAGAGCCCGCCTAGATGTGTGCATGCGCTCGGACGCCGCGGTTGTCGAGGTAGTGTGCGCGTATCCAGAGCGCGGCCATTGTGATGCCAAAAGGGGGAGGTCGGAGCCGATGTGTATGGATCGACGTGGCACACTTAAACTTCTTTAAATTTCTGCGGATTTTCTCATCACTTGAGAGAGGTTGTAGGATTTAGTTGGTGGCTGGAAAAAATGAAATGGGTTAAAATGTGTCACAAACTGTAGAACTACACGCACCAGCTAGTTCACCCAAAAGCTCAAGCTGATGGAGAAAGGTGGGTTATGCATTTATGCTTCAACAACCCCACTCTCACATGTGGCTTCCTTAGGCCTAAACGTGAACCGAAAGTAGGTTGCAATTTTTTTTATTTTTAAATTGCGCCAGCCGGGTCTTGAACCTGCCAATTCACCCAAAATTTCAAACTAGTGAGGAAATGTAGCTTATGCATTTATACTTCAACAAACTTGCGTAAATTAAGTATAAATTGCAAATTTTTGCTAAATGGGGTAATATCTATCACAAAAGTGAACTCTAGGGGTAAAAAATGGAATTCACTCTACTACTAAAAATGACCCACCACCACCTTTGCAGCTGCAGTGGCTACAAATTTGCCCTTCCTCCTTTCTTCGTTGGAATTTGGGAACCGGCCTCTGTTAGATTCCTGAAATGCACAGTTTTTTAAACTCTCTTTCTTTGAAGGTTGGTTCGATTCCTGAATGCTTAACTTTTAAAACTCACTCGAGCTCGAGGGTTGCAGAGTTGCCTAGGAACATATGATCTTGGTCTTATGCCTGGCCCGGGACAGTAGATGGATCAAAGCGATGTGAAACTGGGATTAGAAAACTGGCGCCGTGGCACGCACAGTCGTACCTTCTCGCCTGTGGCGCCGATGTGTCGGGAGTCCAACAGGGAGCTCGGATCCCAAGAGGGAGCCACTGCTTGGCACACCCCCACCGTCAGAAGCCACACGTTTTTACGCATCAGTGCAAGTGCATGCTGCGTGGCCCTCTGAGCAGCTGCAGTAGTAAAAGAGAGAAAGCTTACACTCGTAGGGTTTGTTAAACAACACCGCGGCAGATGTTCTGTACTTGTATATAACAGTCTGTAAGAAATCTGAGCTTTGACCACCCAGCTAGCAGCTAGTCTTCGATCTATATCTGACTACCAGTGTTTAAACTAACAAGCATTCTTCTATAAGAACCCAACAAGCCTCAGCCTTCCTCCTCTCTTCACACTCCTCTCCTCATCACCCCTTCACCAGCCCACCAAGATTTACCGGCCGTCGGCAGTTAATTGGAGTTCACCATGACTACTGTCCGAGTTCTTCTTACAGTTGCCCTGGTCATCTCCCTGCTCGCCCTTGGCCATCATCCCCTCGCTCATGCTCGCCACGGTGAGTCTAATTTTTCGCTTCTTATTTGCACTGTTCATCTCAAGTTTGTAGTAACATTTATTCAGTCACAAGTAGTAGTGTTGTTGATCTCACCAGCTGCTCATATGTTGCTTCACGCAGTGAAGGACCCGTCCATGCCAACCGGTGATTCCTCGTCTGTAAAGAAAGGGTTACAGCAAGGGAGTACCATGAAGCTCGATGCAGGGAAGACCAAGAAAGTTAAAAACGTGGGAGTGGAGGAGATACAAAAGGGATCTGCTGAACCAAGCTTTGGCAACCGGGGGAGCCTTGGTGTTGAGTCTGATAAGGTGGCCGTGCTTGCTCGCCGTGGAGAACCACCCAAGCCTCACCCGAAAAAGCACAACTAAGGCACCGTCCGGAACGGGTGAATTTTTTGGTGACCATATATCAGTACTTAGCTCAAAGTTGAACTAACTACCGGTGACCCTACAAGCTTTGCATCCAGTCCAGCAGTCCCTAAGTATGTGTACATATAGTTAGCTAGCTAGTTTGCTTTTTAGTTGAGCTTGTTATAGTTATTATCTGATTTTGAGTAGTGGTAGTTCTCTTTCTTTCATGTTTCCCCTACCCCTCTCTAGCTAGTTTCTAGGTGAAATTTTGGCTAGGAAACGGAGATCCGACTCCACTGAGCATACTGTACTATAGCTGCCTACTGTCAAATTAAATACCACACTTTTTCTATATATACACATTTTAGTCTTCTACTTTTGAAGGGTGAAAGGATGCATTAAGCCAAAGGAAATCTTAAACACGTTCCTTTTTTTTCTTTTTGAGGTTTTTCTTTATGTACACAAGATCGGATGGTCACAGTTGCAAAAAAAAAATGGCAAACTATACACAAAAAATCTTACCATCTATTCCCAAAATGTGATTTTCAAAACTTTTACTGAAGTTGGTACGAACCGACCGACGCGGACTCCACATGGTGTTGTGCAACCAACTCAGACGGCTTTCATGTCGGGCAGACACATACTAGAGGGTGTTGTCGTCCTACATGAAATCCACTCAAAAAAACTGGATGGGGTTGTTTTCAAAGTAGACTTCAAGATGGCATATGCTAAGGTTAAATGACCCTTCCTCCAGCAGGCCTTACGTATGAAGGGGTTCGGCAATTCCTGGAGGAAACAGTTCGAGTCATTTGTGCAAAAAGGCAGTGTAGGGATTAAAGTGAATGATTACACATGTCGTACCCTGTCCTTGTCCATACTACAATACCTGACGACACTATTATTTTCATGGAACAAGATTTGACAAAGGCTAGAAATATGAAGCTTGTGCTATGCTTGTTTGAGCAATTGTCGGGTTGAAAATCAACTTCAACAAAGTAAATTGTTCTGCTTTGGGAGAGCCAAAGATGAATAAGAGGCTTATAGATAGTTGTTCGGATGTGAACTGGGTCCCTACCATTTAGTTATTTGGGCATACCAATTCATCATCGCAAGCTATCCAACAAGGAGTGGAAGTGTATTGAAGATCGATTTGAAGAAAAAAAACTAAGATGCTGAAAGGGTAAGCTTAGTTCTTATGGCGGTCCATTGGTACTGATCAACTCAGTGCTCACCAGTATGCCGATGTTCCTATTGTCTTACCTTGAAATATCCGTAGGGGATGAAAAATGTTAGACTTCTATTGATCATGATTTTTATGGCAATGTGATTAGATAAAGACAAAATACAGGCTTGCCAAGTGGGATATTATTTGTATACCAAAGAACCAGGGTGGGCTCGGGATTAAGAATTTAAAAGCAAAGAATAGATGTCTAGTGAGTATATGGTTGTACAAACTTTCGGTTGAGACCGAAGGTACGTGGGTACATATTTTGCATAATAAGTACCTGCAATCTAAGACCTTGGCCTAGGTTACTGTAAGACCCAATGACTCGCCTTTCTGGAAGGCACTAATGAAGACGAAAGCAGCCTTCTTCCACAAGAAGAAGTTCATCATTGGGAAAGGTAATTACACTAGAGGATACATGGATAGGGAGACGGCTTTAGCCACACAATATCCATCTCTTTATAATATTGTACATCATAAAGATGCTTATATTGTTACAGTATTACGGTCTTGATGCTCCGCATCAGGTCTCTCCCACTAACATCCAGTTCAGGAGGTCCTTATTAGGAGACCGATGGGAAGCATGGCTACATCTCGTGCGGAGGTTGATGGACATGCACCTCTCTGATGAGCCAGATTCGATTCACTGGAAACTATCTGTAAATGGGGTTTTCTCAGTGAAATCTATGTATTTAGACCTAATTGATTCTGCTCCAATACCGAAGTCATTGCATATTTGGAAGATTAAAGTAGCTCTAAAAATCAAAATCTTCATGTGGTTAGTTCACAAGGGGGTGATTCTGACTAAGAATAAGTTGGCAAAGCAAAGATGGGGGCTAGGTGTTTACTCATCTCGTCCTACTTTTGCCGATTGTGGCAACTTTTATCTTCATTTCATTTCATTTTAGCTCCATGAGAGCTTGTACTAAACCACAGACCTTTTGAGACTTTTGTTTAATAATATGATTGCATGCATCAGTCTCATGCAGAGGCCAAAAGTGACCCTCCTTTTCAAAAAAAAACTATTCACAAAAAAACACATTCCTTTTTTTAAGAAATCTTAACACATGTTAAAAAAATTCCGTCTATTAAAACAAATCTTACCATCTACTCCCTCCGTGAAAGACAAGAGGGTTTAGATAGTGATCTAAACGCTCTTATATTTATTTACAGAGGGGGTATACACAAAGGGAATCTTAACATGTGTGTTACAAAAAAGACACCAATAACTGGGGATCCTGGGAGCAACTAGTTAACGAGCGCTTCTTCGGGTGCCTCACAACGATCAGTGCCACTTGGCGCGCTCTCAGCCATTCACCACGTGTCATGCTCTGGGCGCTCCCTCCGAATTCTTTTTATTTTTCTGCACGAGTTTTCGGCTTTTTAAACGGGTTTTTTCTAGGGGTTTCCGACGTTTCGGTTTTCCACCGGTATTCCTTAGCTTTTGGATAAAAAAATTGCACGGAAAATGTGCTTTTCCCTTTCGCGAGAGTCATGGTTTTGTTTTCGCGAGAGGCACGGTTTTGCTTTCATGGGAGTCACAGTCGTGCCTCTCGGAAACAGAAAAACGTGTTTTCTATTTTATTTTATTTCCGTGAGAGGCACGGTTTTGCTTCCGCGAGAGGTACGGTTGTGCTTTCACTCAGAGACGAAGAAAAAAATGTGTTTTCTTTTCTTTTTCTTTTTTGCGAGAGTCACGGTTTTGCTTCCGCGGAGGCACGGTTGTGTTTTCGCGAGAGGCACGGCCGTGCCTCTCGGAAACGGAAAAAAAATGTGTTTTCTTTTTTTTCACGAGAGGCACGGTTTTGCTTCCGCGAGAGGCATGGTTGTGCTTTCGCCAGAAGCATGGCCGTGCCTCCCGTGAAAACGGAAAAAAAATGTTTTCTCTTTTTTTCCTTCCGCGAGAGGCACGGTTTTGCTTCCGCGAGAGGCACGGTTGTGCTTAAAACCCATGCTCCCGGTTTGGTTTTCTCATCTGGTTTTTTCGTCCTATTTTTTCATGAAAAAAAGTTTGTTAAAACCTATCGACATGGAATCTAGTTCTGAAGATCTCAACGCGAGGAATCCAACGGTGAAAACGGTTTGAGATTTGGACGCACGGTTTAAGAGATAAAACGTTTTGAATATACGGATCTATAAAAAGGGAAAAACTCCCAAGTTGCGACAAGTGGTGCACATGCAGCGCGCCACTTATCGCAACCTGGGAAGGTGAGAGTGATCTTTGCAATGAGTACTCCTCAATTAGTGATTTCAGGGGATCCTTCCATAGGGAGCTGCTCCCATCGAACATTTGATCGATCGCCGGGAGGAGGCCCATTGGGCTAGAGGCCCAGTTTTGCTGGGGTTTTTTTTATTGCCATGAAAAAAATACACATTTTCTTATTAAAAAACAGGGGGAAATGAAATTATGAGTGCCATTGTATGAAAAGTGAGAAATGTCATGCTACTTGTAAAACTGCCATGCCAATATGGGAAACCATTTTGTTCTTTTTTTTCATGGACCCAACACAAAATTCCCATGCTGTAAAAATGAAAAAATAAACCAGACAATGATTTTTTTAAATGCCACAAAAGTTACCATGTTCCTAATCAACACCCAAAAAACTTGTGTGCAAAAAAAAGTTTTAGTAAAAAATGCCACCTCTCAATATTAAAAATGTCATCCTCCTTAAAATAATAAAAATGCCTTCCTCGCAGTAATAAAAATGCTTATCCTATTATAAAATAAACAAATGGCATGCTCTTATAAATAAAATGGCCATCCTCTAACAATAAAAGTACCATCCTCGTATACAAAAAAATGCCATCCTCTTATATTATAAACAAAAAATATCACCCTCTTATAATAAAATTTTCATCCTCTTAAGTAGTAATAACATGACATCCTCACAACAATAAAAAATGACATTCCATTATAAAAATGACATGCTCTTATAAAATAAAACGGTCATCCTCTAATAATAAAAATGCCATCCTCTTATAATAAAAAAATGGCATCCTCTTATAATAAAAACTGACATATTCTTCTAATAAAAATGATATCCCTCTTATAATAAGAAATGCCGTCCTCTTATAATAAAACCGCCTTGTGAGAAAGTAAAAATACCAGGATATTCGAACGAGTTAAAAAACAGAAAAGCTTCAAAAATGCCAAGTTATATATAAAAATATGTTTTAACACACAAATGTTCACGAACCACCTCTCCAGCCCATACTTCAAACTTCTTGGTCTTCTAAATAACTAGTCTTGCGGGTTCTTTGCCTCTGTGGAGAGATTCTACCCCTCAGAAAGTTAACGAAGGGTGTCACCGATTAAGAGAAATTTTGCTTGTTGAGGTGGTGGAACATCCAGGGAAAACCTAGACAAAAATGGAGAGGGATGAGCCACGAAGCACTTAGATACCTTGCCTAGTTTTTGGATTGAGTTTCCCTATATTTCCGATCTTCATCCAGACTGCTGGTGATGTTACAAAGAGAGGGGGCTAAAAGGAACTTGCTGGTGAAGGAGAAGTGGGGTGTAAAAGAGCGCCCCTACTTTTCTCAACTTCCCATCATTTTTCCTTCGTATTTCTACCCCCCCCACCCCCACCCCCCCACCCCCCTCCTTCCCTATTTCCTGATTTTTCAAGTTTTTTGGGTATTTTTTGGACCTTATTTGGATTGTTGTTGCTAAATATTCGGAGTTTGTAGCGTTTTTATGTTGGAATAGAGAGATCGGGTGAAAAGGCGACAACACCTCCAGAAAACAAGTGGCGTCTAAGATGGACGAGGCTTTGCCTATTCCCCGCATATA